TCTAGAGCTTCCATTTGATTCTTTTTGATCGATTCTTGTTCTCTGCTAATGTTCTTCGTCTTGCCACATATTTCCTTGGACATACTCAGTTATTTAACACCCTTGTCCAGTAACTCCAGTATCTACATCCCCTATGGGTCTTTTTTCTGTTTTCTCTCTTTTGGTGTGCAGTCATTTGGGCCCTTGTGTGCTATGCTTGGTAATTTTTATTCAGAAACTATATATGAAAACAACTCGGCTCAAGATGATTTTCTGTTCTTCAAGAAAGGATTTACTTTTCCTTCTTGCAGGCAATCAGAGTAGGGCCAGATCAACTGAATCCAGTATGGGATTCAACTGTTTCAGAGCTGGGTGTTTTGAGACAGTCTATTTCTACTTACCCTCATCCTAGTGTGCACTCTCCAGGGAATCCCAGAGAGAGCCTGTGGTATGCTCGAAGCCCCTCCTCCCTGGCAGACCCTGAACTCCAATTTTCATCTCCCACTCAAGACTACGGGAAGCGTTGCTTAGCTTAATGCACTCTCCTGACTTCAAGTCCTATCTCCCTGGGTAGTTCTGAATCCAGTTTTGTTTTCCCTATCCTGACGGAACTGCCTCAGGCTCTGCTCAGCTTCTCAGCCTCCTAAGCACCACCTTCCGCTCGGCTTCTCAGCCTCTGAGCATTGTGCTGCTTATAAACTGGGAGATGCCGTAGGGTACAAGCAGTGCGGAATATCACACTTGCCTGAATATTGTTTCCCTTCTTGCTGGGATCTTAGCCTCTCAGATTCTGGTTGCTTTGGTAATTTTTCGATGCCTTTAAATTTTCTGGGGTTTTGGTTTGTGTTTTACTTAGTTTTTTCACTTGTTCCTTGTGGGAGGGTTTGGTTTGTCTCCTCCTAACTAGTTTTTCACCGCCAGAATCAGAAGTCATTAGAATTTTCTAATGTTGGGTCAGTCTTGTATTACCAGAGTAAACCCAGATGCATAATGATATATTATTAGTATATTGCTGGGCTTGATTTGATAATATCTGACTTAATAATTTTGCCTTTGTTCATGAGAGTTGGCTGGTAATTTTCCTTTCTCATGCTTGTCCTATTTTAGTATAAAAGGTTATCTAGCTTCATAAAATGAGTTTGAGATGTTTCCTCTATTCATATGCTTTTTTGTTTAAGAACAAAATTATCTTTTATTTCACTGTTTCTTAGAATTTTTAAAAAAATATCTTTTCCAGGGGCTCCTGGGTAGCTCAGTCAGTTAGGAGTCTGCCTTCAGCTCTAGTCATGATCCCAGGGTCCTGGGATGGAGTCCAACGTCAGGCTGTCTGCTCAGCCGGGAGCCTGCTTCTCCCTCTGCCTCTGCAGCTCCCCCTGCTTGTGCACGTGCTCTCTCTCTGTCAAATAAATAACATGTTTAGAAATATATATATATTGTCCAGGGGCACCTGGCTGGCTCAGTTGGTGGAATGTGCGGCTCTTAATCTTGGGAGTCATGAGTTCAAGCCCCATGTTGGGTATAAAGATTACTTTAAAATCTTTTAAAAATATATATCTTTTCTACTATGGTTATGTCGTATGGTTCTTTTTCTGTTCATAATATTTTTTGTTTGCACCTGTCTCCTTTTTATTTTGATCAGTCTGGCAGGGTTTGTTAATTTTATTAATTCTCTATTATTATATGTTGGTTTATTTATCAAATTTCTCCTCTCTTTGGGCTCATTGTATTGTTCCTTCACTAATGTCTTAAATTGGGTACATTTTTTTCAGCCTGTCCTTTTTAAAAATATGTTTCGAAACCTCTGGATTTCCCTTTAAGTACTACTTTAGCCATATCTAACAAGTTAGGACATGTAATATTTCTAACTTCCACTGTGATTTCCTTGACCAGTGGGTTATTTAGAAGTTTGTTTTTGTTTTTTAAATAAACTCTACACCCAGCGTGGGGCTCAAAATCACGACCTCGAGATCGAGTCACACGCTGTACCAACTGAGCCAGCCAGGTGCCCCTATTTTTGTGTTTTTAAACATGAGAGTTTATATATGAGAACTTTGTTCCTTTTTTATGGCTGAGTAATATTCCATTGTATGTATATACCATTTTATCCATTTATCTATTTTTTCTAAAGATTTTATTTATTGATTTATTTGAGAGAGAGAGCACGCACGAGAGTGGGGAGGGAGAAGCAGACTCCCTGCTGAGCAGGGAGCCTGATGCAGGGCTCGACCCTGGGACTCTGCAATCATAACCTGAGCCAAAAGCAGACGCTCAACCATCTGAGTCACCCAGGTGCCCCTCCATTCATCTACTGATGAGCACTCAGGTGGCTTCCACCTTTGACTACTGTGGACATTACCACTATGACTATCGGCACACAGGTAACCTGTTTACTCTCTTTCCAATTCTTTGGGGGTATATACCTAGGAGTGGAATTTTTTAGTTATATGGTAATTGGATGTTTAACTTTTTGAGGAACTGCGAGACCGCAGCAGCTGTGCCATTTTACATTCCCACCAGTGAGACACAAGGGTTCTAGTTTCCCCACATCTTTGCCAACTTTGGTTTTTTGGTTTTGGTGGTTTTATTTTATTAACAGCCATATGAATGGGTGTGAAATGGTATCTTGTGGTTTTGATTTGCAGCTCCCTAATGGCTGGCAGTGTTGAGGAGAAGCTTACAGACCATTGGTGTTATCTTTGGAGAAATGTCTGTTCAGCTCCTTGCTCCTTTTTTAACTGGATTATCTTTCTGTTGTTGGGTTGTAGGAGTTCTTTATATTGTCTGGATGTTAACCCTTTGTTAGGTATGTAATTTGCAAGTAATTTTCCCATTATGTGGGTTGTCATTCCACTTTCTTCATAGCATCCTTTGATACATGAAAGTTTTGTTTTACTGAAGCCAGATTTATCTTTTGTTGCCTGTGCTTTTCGGGTCTTAAACTACTGCCCAATCCCAGGTCATGAAGATTTACTGCTTTTATGTAAGAGTTTTATAGTTTTTGCTCTCAGATTCGTTCTTCAGGGTCCAACTTCATTCTTTTGCTTGTGGATAGTTTTTCCAGCACTCTGCGGAAGAGACTGTCTTTCCCCATCCACACTCATTCTGGAATGACAGAATACTACATGCAGAGAAACTCACTCAATACTTTTCCATTGTTGTAGTTGAGAAATTTGCTGTTGAATTCATTTCTTTAGCAGAAAGATTGTTTTTAATCTTTCCTTGCCCTTTGGCTGCTTTTTAGGAGCTTCTCTGTGTCTTCCATTTTACTGTCAGTGTGAATTTGCTTGGGATTCATTTGGCTTCCTGAATGCCAGGTGTCATTAGCCATTTCTGGAAAGTTCTATATCATGAGCTCTTTCTATGTGTCTTCTCTTCCATTCTCTCTGTTCTTTTCTTGTAGAGCTGACCGGCATACACGAAGGCCCACTCCCTTCAATATCTCTCAGCCCCTTTCTTTTTTGATCGTCTGTTCTTTTTCATATTTAGTTGCTGCTTTTATTTCAAAAAATGAGGTGCCCAAGTGCAATCTTATGGTTGGGAATTCTCAGGAGAGACCTTCCCTTTTATTCCTACTCTACCCTAGACCAAATGTCTCCGCTACCTGCCTTGAGGGGGTGGGGAGTGGCTCATTTTATTCCCCGCAGCTTAGCTATTCATTTAAAAAGACGTCTTGTTTTGTTACCTCGGGGCCTGGGGGTGGGCTTTATTCCACGATGGCCCTGGTTTCTGTGAAGTGACGGCCTGGCTTTTCTCTCATGCTAGTTCCAAGCTCCGTTGTCTCTCCCGCTTCTCAGAGCACCTCCATCCTGGCCTTGAACGACTGCTTGACATATTCATGGCTTTTCATCATTTTCTAGCAACAACTTTCTGGGGAATGTTCACGTGCCATTTGCTGTTCCTGTCATCTGTGTAGCTCCTTTTTACTTAGTTTCTGAATGAGGCAAAATTTTTCCTTGATGAGCGCTTGTGAAGTAGATCACTGTGAGAGAGGGGCCAGGCCCGCGTCCCAGGAGGACGGGAGTTCCTAAGACCCAGGGACGGGGGCCGTGTTCAGCCTTGTCCTCTCCCCCGTTACGATGCCAAGGCCCCCACCCCCTGGTGTTGAACCAGGTTCAGGAAAGCTCTTGCTCCAGTCTGCACCCCCTTTTCATTTCAAATATGAGAGGACTAGCTTCTCCCGTCAAGGCATGCTGCTTTGGAGAACTCGAAACTGCCACCTCAATCCAGACTTGCAGCCCACGTCACGCCCAGTGCTGCCGAGTTCTGTCACAGGAGAGTTCAGTGTCGATTTCTCCTTTACTCTGTTTTGCTTCGCAGTGATTGTGCGGCGGCTGAGAAATAGCACTGTCTTCATGCTACAACTACTAAAAGGTCAACCTTATGTTCCTGGGCTGAGCCCTTCACGGCTAACTCGCCTGTTGGGAGTCTATCTGCTTATATTTTACGGGACTTTTCCATTTATGTTCAGAATGAAGGTGGTCTATTCTTGGCATGTCTTACCTGTTCTCAAGGCTCCTGAAATGAGCGGTGTCATTTCCTATGTTTATGGACTCTCTGGAACAGTCTGAGTATATAATGCCAGGATTTTCTGTTCCTTGAAGATTTTATCAAACGTCACCTGTAAAACTACATAGTTTATAGCTTGGTTCCTTTTTCTGGGAAGATTTTTAACTTCTGCTTCATTTTTTTAAAAACAGCTTTGGTCTAATAAGATTTTCTGTTTCTTCTTGACTCTATGATAATTCATGTTTTCCTGGAAATTTTTTCCATTTAAACTCAATTTTCCAATCTATTGCCATAAAATATCCGTAGGAACTAGGGCATGGGGCTCACTTTATCTGTAGTGTTTGCATTTTTCACGAGAGCAGATTAAAGTGGGTGTAAAATGAAGACCAGGTGCCATGCACCCAAATGATGACTGGTAACCGGCGGGGGGGGGGGGGGATAAAATCCCCGATCCTGCCTCCTACCCCAACAAACCCTGTGCTCTGCTCAGTCTCTCTCTATTTTCTCTTTCTCAGTCTTAGGAAAAGTCCTCAGTGCTGTGGGCAGTGCCCAGCTACTGATGTCCCAGAAATTCCAGCAGTTCCGGGGCCTCTGTGAGCAAAACCTGGTGAGTGTGATTCTTCTTCCCCCCACTGCGGGGCCTCCAGCCTTTGCTGGAATTAGCCCCTCTAAGCCTCTGTGCCCTCCTCCCTAACATGGAGAAGGTGCTGGTGACGCATGTCCGTGCCTTGCACGAGGAGAGGGCCTTCTAAATTTCTAATGCCTCTTCAAATAGAAAAGCGAAGCCTTTGTGAAAAAAATCAGCACTGATTTGTGTTAAACGTGCTCTAAGACGCCAGGTGAGGGCTGAAGACATACCACCCCTGGCTTGCTGGGTTTCCCTCTCTTTCAACCTTCCCTGTCAGGAGGGTGGCTTTTCCTGTGGAAGCCTCGCCTCACTCCACCTTGCCAGGGGCAGTGTGCTCCTAGGGCCGGAGGACAAGGGCAAGTGTTTGTCTCCAGGACCTGCAGGGGTGTAGCATTGGCTGGGGCAGTCACCATGAGCAGTGTGTTGTTGGAGAACAGACTAGGGGGACAGAACAGAAACCCCATGGATTCTGTAATCCTACCCACCTGGCAGGGATCCTGGCTCCTCCCCGTCTTACTGTGCTCATGGCCAGGAACTTCTGTACAATGAGACCAGCTCTTGGCCTGGCATACAGTAGGAGCCTGAGGGCCTTCCTCCCCGTAGCCCTACAGCGGTGGTCAAGGCCTCAGTCCCGTGTATGTGCAGGGCCTGCTCTCACGATGGGACCGTCTCTTTCTCCCAACGATCTGCCCCATCAGGGCTGGCAGTGAGCAGGAACTGGCTTCATTCCCTCCTACAGATCCTGATGCTGGGAATGGGGGAGCAAGACGAGGCCTCCAGAGAGCCTAACCAAGGCCGGCAGGGCCACAAAGCCATACTTGGGGTGGGGTGCAGGACGAGCGTCTACCTCGCTTGCCCCACTGATCCCCATCTCCGCCCCCCCCAACAGAACCCTGAAGCCAACCCACGTCCGACAGCCCAGGACCTGGCCGGGTTCTGGGATCTGCTACAGCTGTCCATCGAGGACATCAGCATGAAGTTTGATGAACTCTACCACCTCAAGGCCAACAGCTGGCAGCTGGTGGAAACCCCCGAGAAGAGGAAGGTGAGCATGGAGCAGTGCGGAGGGGAAGTCCAGGGACAAATTCCTGGTCGGCACTAACGCTGCCCACATCGGTCAGTGCTGCTTGGCTCCCTTCTCCGTGTGTCGTTTTTGAGCTGGGGGCTCACGTCCATCAGTGCGCGGGGTCCATGCTCGGCTCTCGTCCAGCATGCCGCTCGCTCTGTGTCGTCCAGGCTGTCCCCCGAAGCATGCCATCCCGCCCTGCATGTTCAGAAAGGGGGCTCCTAGGAGACAGGTGCCCACAGCCCTGAGCACAGATAGATAGACACGTGGCTGTCAGAACTCTGGAGGCAGAAGATCAGTCCTCCTGGGGCCAGCCTCTTCGTGAGGCGCGGGCTTCCTTCCGTAAAACCGTGGCACCCAAGGACCCCTGTGGTTCTTGGGTACTGTTCTGACCACCCCCCCCCCCCCCGGAAGAGCCTGTGACATGTGGCCTGGGAGTCCGAGGCCCTGAACTTAAATCCCAGCTCAGGCTGTGTGACTCAGGCTCCCCGTGGTTCAAAGCAGGGGTGGGAAAGGTGCTCTGTCCATCCCTTCCTGCTAGAACATTCTAGGATCCTAAGCTTGCTTTTTGCTCCTATGCCTTGTGCTGTTCCCACTATCATCGCTGCTTGGGGCTTTCTGATTCCACGTGTGTGTTGCTTGTGCCCGACGTGGGGAGGCTGGGGTGGAGGCTGCGGCTGCCAACATCGAACGGGAGGGAGCGCCCCACAAAAGGTGCACCTTTATTTTATTTTTCTCCCCTCCTCACTGTCTCACTAAAGGAAGAGAAGAAACCACCCCCTCCGGTCCCAAAGAAGCCAGCTAAACCCAAGCCGGCAGGGAGCCGCGACAAGGCCTCGGACGCCGGGGACAAGCAGCGTCAGGAAGCCCGCAAGAGACTCCTGGCGGCCAAGCGGGCAGCCTCCGTGCGGCAGAACTCAGCCACCGAGAGTGCGGACAGCATCGAGATTTACGTCCCTGAGGCCCAGACCCGACTCTGAGACCAGGAAGCAAACAATTTTAAGTCATTAAAAACAACACCCACCACCCACACAAACTAAATGTGAACGGAACACCATTTTCTCAACCTTTAAGATGGTTATTCTGTCCAGAGACCCTGAGCCAACTTTCAAATTGACGCATACAAGGGCTCACAATTTGGCTTTTTTGGGTCCCTCCCAGCTTTAGGTTATGAAGACTTCATACAAAAAAAAAAAACACAAAAAACTCAAAACGTTTTCTCCCCTCCGGCTGGCCGCGGTGGGCTAGGTAGACGGACCTCGGCCCCTCGCGGCCCAGCCTCCAGACTGCGGTCTTTTTACTTGTTCTGTCTCACGAGAACTCGCACTAGCTTGTTTACAAGACGAGGACAGTCCGAGGACAGCCTTGGGCCCCTGCCATGCCCTTCCTCCTCCTCCCGCTGCCCCGCTCTAACCTGGCAGTTTCCGTTCCTCGGCTCCTCTCCTCCCCGCCTCAGAGCTCACCCAGGCCGCCGTGGTGACGGCCGGCTTGCCCTCGGCCCCGCGCCCGACGCGCGCCCCTGCCCCAGCGCTCCTCATGCTCACGCGCACACGCAGGGCCCCGCAGCGGCAGCCAG